CTCCCTGGTTCCCTCCTGTCCTCCTGGAACTCATCCTATGTGACTGCCTTTGGAGAATACAATCCAACACAGATCCTTTTAGAAAAGCAGGTTTATTGGTCGGGCTGCTCACCAGGACACAGCAACATGAGAGGCTCCCCAGAGCCCACAGGAAACTGTATCTGCCCGCAACTCAGGCCCCTTCAGCCCATCAGCACCAAGGGACCTCATCCCACAATCCCCATCCTCCCTCAGCCAATGTGTCTCCAACCATCCAGAAGAAAGAAGGGAACCAACAGGAAAAAAAAAAAAGCAAAGCTTTGTATTGTAAAAAAGATGTGTCCCCAGGCTCCCTCCCTCCACCCCTTAAAAACAATTAGCTGCAATTCTATAATGCAGAGCAGAGAAGATAAAGCACAGGAGGTAGGGGGCGAACGACGGAGCCTTCAGCCCTCCTCTTCCGGCTGTGACTTGGGGGTGAGGGGTTCTGTCCTTGCTTCCGACAAGCCACCGTTACTGGGGAGGAACAGGGGGACTAAAGTGTCCTGAGGAGAACCTGATCAGAAATCAGGCTTTTGGACTGGAAGCAGCACCCCTCTCATCCCAAAGAGTCAGGAGAGGAACCCACAAGGCCAAGGAAGTCTTGGCAAGTTCTGCAGCTTTATTATAACTAGCTCTAGGGAAGGATCTTGAGAAGAAACTGCCAGGAGCGGCCAAGTCTGGGCTGCTCCACACACAGGAATTCTATAGTCTCCTCCCCTCCCCTCCAGCTCTCAGCTTGGTGGCCTGGCCTTTAGCACCTAGTTCTTTTCCCGGTCCCTCTCCTTCCTACCTACCAGCTCTCCGCAGCCTGGCGCTGCCCTCTTCTGGGACCCTAATTTTCTGGGCTTTGAGAAATGGGCTGCCCCTGGAGCACCATGCCCAGTGAAGGCATGGTGTGAGGCTTACCTCTCTCTTCTTTGGATCTCGGATTTCTCACATTGCCCTCCCTTCTTATCCTGAAAATGGTCCTGCTGTCCTCAGAGAACCCCAGTAAGATGGGATTCTTGTGCTGTGTTTCTCACGTTGCTAATGGACATTCTCTTTTCACCCATTTCCACCTTCTACTATTTCCTGTTCTCTTTCAAAGCCATAGCCATGTGCTCCTGGGTGCAGATGCATAAACAGTAAGTGCCCCCCCCGCCCCCGCTCCCCAAGGGCTCTGCCTGGCTCCAGCCTTCCTTATTGGGACCTTTTGCAGATACAGCCTGTGCTAGACCCTCATCCAGGGTCACGGCTCACTCTGCCCTCTCTCCCCCGACACTGCCCCAGATGCTCCCCAAAGCTGCTTTCACATCCTTCCAGTATGGGGTCTCCCATGTGAGCAAGGGGCCTCTTCAAGATTCACTCTTCCCTTTCACGGTAATTTTGGCTCCGAAGCCTCCAGGGATCAGGATGAGAAAGAAGAGCTCAGTGAGCAGG